CCACCTGGCCTGGTTTGAGAGGGCTTAGAAGTCCTTCTTCAAGGCCAGCTGTACTCTGCCTGATTCTCAAATAAAGCATGATGCCAGGGGCTCCGTGATGTAGTCTCGTCTTGATACCTTCATAGTGAATCCTCGGAACTGCTTTTTCATGAAGGGAGAGAGCTTGGTCCTGCCCTGTCACATGGTCATGAGCCATGGAGCCTGGCCCTGCACAGGTTCTCATGATGTCTCTCGTCACTTGTTGTTTATTTATAAAGCCCTTTACCATTTGCAGTAGGGCCCTGGGACTGCTGCTGGGGCCAGGGGTAATTATGGCAATCTGCAGGGAGGTGGTACACTCATCATGCTCTAACCATCTTCCCTGGAATTGCCTTTGATCCAGTTCTTAGCTGGGAAAATAGCCATTAAGAGATGTCTATCTTTGGTTTCATTTAGATGGAGAAGAGAGGACTAAATTGGCAAGGGATGGTTTCATGTTCTCAGAGCTGGCCTCCGCCCAGGCTGTTCCCAGAGCTCCCAGAGCCCCTGGCCACATTCCCATGGAGCCCCCTAAAGTCCTGGAACTGAGACCCTACGCCTTGAAGGCAGGCACTGAAGGTGGGGATGGGGGGCTTCTATATGGTGTGTGCTCACTAGGAAGTTCTTCCTTTTTTTTTTTTCCATTCATCGAGTAAAGGAGAGGAATTTGGGGGTCTCAGAAGTATAAATGCTAATTTCCTTTTTTTCCATTACAAAAGAAATAAAAGAATATTAATGAAAATTCAGAAAGCAGTGAAAATGAAAATACTTTGTTGATTACCCATAACCTCATTGCCCTAAAAAAGCCAGAATGCTGGCAGATTTCCTTCTATTATTATTATTGTTATTTAGAAACTTTTTTGGTTACACATAGTTGCTTTTTGCTATACATTCAATTGAGACGTTGCTTTAGTCCTTTTAACATTTTAATTGCTATGTGTTCCATCATGTAACAGGCCCAAATTTATTTACTCAAACCCTAGTTGGATATTTAAATTGTTTCTGACATTGTGATAAACACCTCTATTTATGTAGCTTTTTATTTTAGAATTATTTTTCTTTGTGTGCATTCCAGCAAGTGGAACAATTGGACCAAAGGGTTGAATAGTTTCATGCTTTTGATACATGTTCCCAGATTGTTTTCTAAAAGGATTTTTGTTTATTTACATTCCCACAAACAGTGGCATATTCTTTGACAGTGGGATTTATTATTTAAAAGTGATCATTTAATAGATGAAAGAGGATGTCTTGTTATTATTCTATTTTTTTCCCCGTCCCTCCTTCCCTCTTCTCCTTCCCTTCCTTCCTTCCTTTCTTTTCTTTTTCATTTCTGGAGAGGTAGGAGAGTTTGCCATGGGTTTTTCAACAGTTAACGAGTCCCAGGGGCACAGTGGTTAAGCGCTCATCTGCTGACGCAAAGGTGGGCGGTTCGAACCCGCCGCTTTGCGGTGAGGCCGTGACTTCAACTGGTGACTAGCACTGCGTCTGGGAGCCGCCAGCTCAGCACACCCGTGCCATGGCCCCCATCTTTGAGCTCGCCTGCATCTATTCGGCCCTCATCCTGCTCGACGATGAGGTGACTGTCACGGAGGATAAGATCAATATCCTCAGTAAAGCAGCCGGTGTAAACGCTAAACCTTTCCGGCCTGGCTTGTTTGCAAAAGCCCTGGACAACATCAACATTGGGAGCGTCATCTACAATGTAGGGGCTTGTGGACCTGGCCCAACAGCCGGCACTGCACCAGCAGGAGGACCTGCACGTCCAGTGCTGCTGCTGCCCCAGCTGAGGAGAAGAAAGTGGAAGCAAAGAAAGAAGAATCTGAAGAGTCGGATGCTGAGATGGGCTTTGGTCTTTTTGACTATACTCCTTTTGTAACATGTTCAATAAAAAGCTGAATTCTTAAAAGAAAAAGAAAGATGTGGCAATCTGCTTCCTCCTTTCATAAAGATTACAGTCTTGGAAACCCTATGGGGCCGTTCTAGTTCTACTATGCCCTATAGGGTCTCTGTGAGTCAGAATCGACTCAATGCCAATGGGTGTGGGTGTGTGTTTCAATAGTTGACCACAGGTCCCCCAATGTCCTCACCTAGGCTTCCCGAGGTGCCAGTGTCCAGAAGAAGCCTCTCTGCAGGACTCTGGGGCATGAGAACTTGAGTGTCAAGCTTCTGTCCTTGGCAGAAGACCCTAAGGCCCCAAGGTGTCCCATGTCAGAGAGAGTAACCACTAGTTTTCCCATCTGGGAGAGGGCTGCATGCTAAAGGTCCTGTCTAGCTCTAGAAGCGGTAAGACCAGTTTGTCTCTGTAACTAGCTGAGTATACAGTTTTGGTCTGGAGGGGTTGCGGTTGTCTCTGATTTGGTCTGTTTTGGACCAGCTGTCCTGAACGGTCATCCATGTTATGAAGAATAGAGAGCTGTTCATGGAGAGATTCCACAGGGGGCCATCCCAGCTTTGGCCTCTTTCATTGCCTCTTACTACTATTTCCTAAACCTATTTCCACTTTAATGCTGTGAATACAAGTCACCACTGGTGTTACCCACATGACAAAACTCTCTCAGCTACTTGGCCACAGGGCTGGGCTCATGAACTCTTACGCAACCAGATTCCTTCTTGGAAACAACAGGAGCCCTCCTGCCCAATCATGGCCAACCATGGCCAACCACGGCCAACCATGCTCAACCGTCAACAGGCTGGGTCTCCAGGTGGACGAGGTCCTTGCCACGGGGAGAGGGCCTGAAAAACCAGAGGAAAGGGTAGAACAAGCTCTACCCTAAAGAGGAGTGGAGACTGGCAGAGATGAGAGAGAGTGAGATGGTGGCAATTGGCCCTGAAGTCCAGGGTCCTGTAGTGCTCTCTCTAATTCCACGATACCCCTTCCCCATGTCCTTCGCAATGGTATGAACCAATACATTCCCTTTTGTCAATTAAGCTAGTTTGACGTTGATTCTCTCTGTTGTTCTTAGGTGCCGTAAAGTCGATTTTCACCTCATAGTGACCACATGTGACAGAATAGAACTGCCTGATGGGTTTTCTAGGCTATAATCTTTATGGAAGCAGATCACCAGGTCTGCTGGGTGGGTTCAAACCATCAAAGTTTCAGTTAGCAGGTGAGGGTTTAACCTTTTTGCCACCAGGAGCTCTCCCTCTCTTCCTCCCTCCCTCCCTCCCTTCTCTCTCTCTCTCAAATAGTCCCCACCAACATGTCAGCTGTGAATGCTTGCACTGTTTATTTCTAATAGGGGTCCTCCCAGGCTTATCCTTTTCTATTGTTTTTTGTGCCTAACTTTTTATTTTGAAATAACTGTAAATCCACAGGAAGCTGCAAAAGTAATACAGAGAGGTCCCATGTACACTTCACCTGGTTTCCCTCAATGGTACCATCTTACATAACTATGGTTCACTATCAGAAGCAAGAAATTGGTATTGGTGTAATCCACAGTTCTTTTTTTCTTCTTTTAAGACCACCCCTGGTGGCTCAGTGGTTAAGAGCTTGGCTGCTAACCAAAAGGTCAGCAGTTCGAATCCACCAGCCACTCCTTGGAAACCCTATGGGGCAGTTCCACTTTGTCCTATAGGGACACTATGAATCGGAATCAACTTGACGGCAATGGGTTAGCTGTGTGCATACAGGTGTAATTTAAAAAACCAAAAAAAAAACCAAGCAAAAACAAAAAAAAAAAAAACCCGTTTGCAGTAAAATAAATTCCAACTCATGGTGACCCCATGTATGTCAGAGCAGGACTGTGCTCCATAGGGTTTTCAATGTCCTGATTTTTCAGAAGTAGATCGTCAGGCC